ACTGACTTTGACAAGGCTTGTGTACTTAGTGATCAGTACACTGGGCTCTTTGCTCGGAAGATCCCTTTACCACAGGTTGAATTGGTCTCAAGAGTTCCAGAGGATTCTTGCTTAGCTGAGTTCAACATAGCTGAGACTTAGGTCTTCGAGCTACTGCAAGGCATTAATCCCTCTAAAGCTTCCGGTCCTGATTCAATTCATCCGAAGCTGTTGCATTAATTGGCCACTTAGCTGTGTGGTCCTCTCACATGTGTGTTTTCAATGTCGCTTGACAGCTGTGTCCTACCTTCGTAATGGAAGTAGGCAATCATCTGTCCGATTTTTAAGGGTGGTGACAGCGCTCTGCCTGCGAACTACCGACCTTTCAGTTTGACAAGCGGAGTAGTCAAATTGTTTGAAAAGCTGATAAGGGATTCATTGGAGAATCACCTGAGTAGATTTAACCTCAATGTTGCGCAACGTGGATTTCGCAATGGATTTTCGTGTCAGACTAATCTACTTGTGTCTCGTAAAAGCTGGACCGAAGCAGTAGACAGTAATCACGCTGTAGACGTACTATTCGTGAACTTTTCGAAAGTTTTTGACACTTTTTCATCGACTCTCACTAAAGTTGAGATCTTACGGTATATCTGGTCGCGCCCTAAATTGGTGTCTGCTTTCCTTGAGGGGAGAGGACAGTGCGTACGGGTGGGACGTAACCTTTCGTTCAGGCAAGCTGTCTTTAATGGCGTCCCGCAGGGCTCTTTATTGGGGCCATTGTAGTCCGCAATTTATGTAAATGACTTGGCGAAGGAGCTAGGAGTGTCATCACTAATGTTTGATGACGACTTTAAGCTCTAGAATATTGTGGATATCCCGGGGGTGCTGAGGCAATTCAAGGTGCCTTGGATAGGCTCTAGGGATGGTCTAATGGTTGATGTCCATAAATAGGGCCAAGTGCCCTGTTCTCCGAATCGTAGCTGCTAATCCTCCCACCAGATATGTTGCCGGCGGTGGTGAAGTCGCTGTTGTCACTCAGCAGGTTGATTTAGGGGTCGTACATTCATCAGCACTTCGTTTTGGCGACAATTAGAAGATAACTGCTTGTCCTGGGTTTCGTATGATGTAGTTTATCCGCCGCTCTTTCGTAGTCCTAACGGCCAATTTGTTTATGAGGCTATTCTCGGCGTTCGTCCGACCCCACCTGGGATATTGTATCCAGACTTGTCCACCTAGTCTTATCCGAGACAAAATGGACTTAGAGAAGGTATTACGAGTGAGCACACGGTTAGTGCAGGGTCTACGGGGCAGACGTATCCTGAACGCTTGCTTAGTTTGGGATATGCTCCATGCACTATCGAAGGATAAGAGAGGACCTGATTCTCATTTATCGTATTTTGATGGTCTGATAGGATTAGGACGGAAACTCGTCTGTCGCGCCGAGTTATAGATCGCTGGAATTCGCTTCCATATCATGCGGTTAGGGAACCTACGGTTAAGGGTTTTGCGCGCCAGCTCGATGCTCTTAGATGGCAGCACCAAACCTCTCCTTTTTCCTGACTCACCGCTTTTCAGTTTTTTAATAACACATCTTGGTATTCTATTTGCTTAGCTCTTTCCACTTTCTCTTGCCTTCTGCGTTTGATTTTTTCTCTTTTTTACTTCACGTAACCGGCCGAGCAGGGACTGTTAGGGCAGAATACGTGGGCATTAATTGGTTGGATAGGGTGTGATGCGGTCTTTGTTTTAGGTCCATCAGTATTTCAAAGTCTGCCAACTCCTGGTTCAACGCCCAGCTGAAGAAGGAACACTCACGGGATAATCCTATCGTTTCAACCCCACTTGAACTTGAACCCTCTTACGAAGCCCATCCTCTGGCATCATTGGAATATAGTAATTAATGGGAATAAAAGCTGTAGCTTTACATGACCCATAGGGTAGAAAAAAGTTAGGTTCGGGTCTGGTGAAAGGCCAGTCAACCTTATAGCGGGTAGGACTCACGTGTTAGCCATACCCTCATCTAACTTATACGGCATTGAAACAGAATGCACGCCGGCTCATAGCATGACATCCCACCACGCCCTCCGAAACGTCTATGGAAAGCAATTAGGTAGGAGATTAAAAATGAAAAGTAACTCCGTCAATTAAGAAGCATTTGTTTCATTGATGATCGTGGTGTAGCTCGGCCAGATGACAGTCCAGGTGGATCTTAAGATCAGCCACAGTAGGTGCCGAGACTAAGTCGGCAGTCAGAGCATTCCACGGTCGGCAGAATCACAAAGCGAAAAAGTGTCGTCTGCAGTTCAGCCGACTGTGCTGATTTGTGAGCCTCAGTGGTTTGCAGCGTAGGTGGGAGCACATTTTTTGCAGTGTGAGTAGATGGTCACAGGGATGTCCAGGGTTGAATAAGATCGTGAATACAAGGACCAAGTCGCTCCGGAGACGTCGGTACTTTAGCGAGTAGTGGCCCAGGCAATGAAGCCGTTTTGGAAAATTTAGCTGTTTGAGACCTCGGACCAGATTTGTAGCTCGACGTTGATCCTTTAGCAACCAGCGGCCCCAAGCTTAAATAGCAAACTCCAAGTGGGGTCGAAGAAAAGTGCTAAGGAGGAGGCGGAACTTGTTAGGGTCAGTTTGACTGAAGGCTGGTTTCAACAATCCCACCACGCTGTTAGCAGCAGAAGCTGCTTTCCGGCAGGAAGCGGATACAAAAAGACTCGTTTGAGTAATGACACCCAAGTCTTTCGGCTGACTAGCTCTGGAGGATAGACATTCCCAAGAATTATCTAGGAGGAGCGGAAGGGCTGGCAGTGAGGACGCGACATTTCGAAGCGTTAAATGAAGGTTGTTTTCCAGGAACCACTGATGTAGACGCGCGAGGTCCATCTGAAATGCGCGCGCATTGTCCGGAACGTTAATTGTGCACCACCGCTTCGCGTCATCCGTATATAGCAACAGCGAAGACTACTTGCTGTTTGATGTCATCAATGAAGACTAGGAAGAGGTCCAGTCTGAGAACAGACCCCATTGGAACTCCGCTTGTGGCAAGGATGCGGGGAGACAACGCTCTGTTGACGCGTACTTGGACGGTACGGTTTTATAAGTAGTTCCGGATTCACTCCGTCAAGGCTCCTGATACGCCGTAAGACAACAGTTTGTGTAGCAGGATGTTTTGATCGACTTTGTCTATGGCTTTAGCGATGTCCAGGCATATGACATGCGTTTCTAGGCCAGGGTCGGCAGCAGTCGTCCAGGTATCCCTGACAAGTAGCAGGTTATTCAGGCACGACCGTTGCCGTCGGAAGCCGTGCTGGCAATCGGAGAGCCCTTTCTGGCCTCCATATGGTCCATTAAAGCGTCTGCGATGATCGATTCCATCACTTTGGAGATCGTAGAGAGGAGGGTTATCGGTCGGTAATTGGCCGGGTCTTTGCGAGTGCCGCCTTTGTAGATTGGTGCAATAGTTCCACATTTTCAATCATTGGGAACTTCGCCTTGCGAAAAGAAGTGGGTGAACAGCTTCGCTATGGGTAAAGCTAGAGCTGCAGCGCACGCTCGCAGGACCTATGGGTGGAGACCATCAGCGCCATCATCATCATTAACAACAGTAGTACATGAGTCATTTGAACTGATGCTTCGCTGCCATACAATTATGCTGACCTAAGGAATCAAGAATAATAAGAGGGGAGAAGGGAAACTTACCGGAAAACCTTAATCTCTAAGCAAACATTCAGGGGTCAAGGAGCCTAAACCTTGTGCTAACAATATACTGGCCTCGCCGCTATACCGTCGTTAGCTGTTTTTGACTTAAGGATGGCAGAACTTGAGTTGGAACAGGCGGAACTCGATGGTAAAATGGCTAGAGTACTCTTGGAGCTAGATACTAAGTATGCGTCTACCACCGATTCATCTCAATCCGAATCAGTGGCTCATGTTGAATCATCATATATTGGTCCTTCATCAGAAGCTGACTGTTGCCATCAGGAGTCAGAACTTAATGCGATAACTAACGTTGAGGGGTGACATCGGTAGCGGTCTCGGACACCACCCAGTGTCACAACACATCGTTCAGCGATGTGCAACAACATTCTTCCGTTACCCACCCATGATTGTACAGCAATGTGGAGGTCTTTAAACCATGCAACGGTAACTCCGCTGATGACAAATCGAAGCACTCATTGCCCCAACTTCAAGCGATACCGGAAGTGGAGTTATGTGCTTTAGGTTGCCCTAGAAGTTTGTCCGATCATTTAGTTTTTACTGGGGTAGTAAGCAACTCCAGTGAGCATGACATGCCTGAGGATATTTGCCTCTATACTGCTCCGGAGGTCCAAAATAAATCCATGGGCTTGGAGATTCTGAATCCCTCCGAAGATTCCTTACTTGCTGTGCGACGGCCCACACCGCATCACAACTGGGAAAGCTCAGTAACATCTGCCTATGTTTAAAAGAAACCTTGTATTGCTTTGATGACTTGTGTTATCCTTCCGCTTGTGGTTGCACCGGTGGACCCCGACGGTTTGGTAAAAATCAGTTATGGCTTAGATAACAGAGTGAGCTTATGGTTTGATGCGACTAGTTTCTGGTAACCTAATGAAAACTGCTTTAATATCTATTAAGCCGCTAGCTGATGTCTTTGGTAAAATTAAGAAGGCTTGGCACAGGTGGATTGAGGTGCTTAAATCGTTTGGAGTATTGAAGATAATAAGCTTCACTTAATAAAGATGGGGAGAAGTTATGTGTGCTAGAGTGGTACAGCCAGTGGATGGAGCTGGGTCCGGGCGAACCAAAGCGAGAAACCAAAGAAGGGTTAATGCGAGGAAAATCATTTGGTTTTGGGGCGGAGTGTAGGCGAAAGAATTACCACGAAAACCGCATCCTGCATGTCAGATAACCCCACCATCTGCGCCTTCTGCCGTGATCCCGGTTAGCCCATTATTTGTCTACCCCATGCGATTAACTATGCAAAGCTCCATGTTTTCCTTGCAACTCACCATGATATCGAAACTTGTTCCCGATAACCTTATTTGACACCTGCTCCTACTGACTATTATGCGGTTCACTGTTTTCCTTACCATGTCTGCCTGGCTTCAATCCAACCCTGCTGCGAGATACGATCGCGCCCATAAAGTTGTAACACGCCCAGGTGTCCCACCACTCGAAATGGATTTGCTCTCATCACATGCCCGCTGTGACGATTATGCACTCCCCTCCCCCGTGTTACTAACCCCAAGGGCACTCAGGCCCTTGTTGGTGTTTGATCCCATATCCTCACCGAGACGCGTTGATCTCATTCCATCTGAATGTAATTACACCTTGTATCTTCCTGTGCGCTGTGCCGCGGACCAGCGGGATAACATTTCGGACATCTTAAAAAGAACCCTCGTACTCCTCTCTTTGAATCAGTGCTGTGTGGCTTTGCTGTACGGTAGTAAGTGCACTGACGCTATTTTATTGTGTAACTGTACGAAGACCCGGTTGTTTCAGAACTGAACGGACACGAGGTATGTAACTATATAATTAAGTTCTATTTTGTTTAATAGTACCGTAGTTAATGTCTCGGCTTCCTTTCTTGGCTGGACCCGGGAGTTTTTACGTGTCACTCGCTTACAACCATAGCTCATTAACCTATGCGATTTTTTGAGCTACGGTGCTAGAAATTTTTTAAAAGCTTTCCAAACAGACAGGTCCCTGGTTATGGTTAGTCGCACCGTTCGTACCAGTCACACGCATCAGCCTGATGTAATTAGTGGCAGTCATTGGCCGTGGCACTGGTCCTTCACCATACTATGGAACAGGAATGCATGAAGAGGACACTAGCTTTCATCCGGATTGAGGCTGTCTAGGCCATACACGCTCTGCGGCAGGTGCTAGAACAAGCTCATACTTACCGCAGACCGGCGATAACCGTTTCTCGAGTACATTCGATTCAGTCGATCGCTCTATCCTATTTAAAATACTTTCTCGAAAGGGCGTTCCCATCAAGCATATAAACGTTTTTCGTGCCCAATAGACAAAGACAAGTCGCGTCAGATTCTATGGTGTATTGCAATTCGCCTTTCCGACAACGAGTGATTTTCATCAGGATTGTCTGCTTTCCTTATTAAGCAGGTATATTAGCGTTATTGGAACAGAAGATGAGGCGCTTTTGCTAATCTTCACCACGACAGCCAGCGCGACATCACTCTCACCCTGAAGGACAGAGTTTACAATGCAGCCGTCCGCACAACCCTCTTGTATGCCTTTGCGTAACCTGGCCCATCAAGTCGACAGATATCAAGAGCCTGTTTACGTTCGATCATGGCTGCGTTCGCAGCTTAGCTCATGTCTGGTGGGAGCACCGCGTGAGCAATGGGCGTTTTCGGCGTCGCGCGTTTGGTGCAGAAAGAGCGAGTGAACCACAGCACCGTTATTTCGCTCATCAGGCTCCGATAGCTGAGCTACGTGTTGCGCTTACCTGCCCACCGACTCCCGCAACGTACGTTGTTTAAGTGACCGAGGTGTAAATGTAAAAACTGGTGGGGGGGACCAGACAGTGATTTGCTCAAGAGGAATGAAAACCCTCACTTCTACCTTGGCGTTAGTTGGTATCTTCCGGCTATCTGGCAAGGGACCGGAGGACGGTTAATGCACTTGTTGACATGGCAAAGAGGCGACCTCAATGGCGTTTGCATTGTGAGTATCTTTGTACTTCTTCATCCTGTCTAACTTCCCCTTCAATGACCCCTTCAACCCCTTCTCCCTTAGGACTTAATATATTACTAAGCGGTATGTTACCTGTTTTTTGTATTCTACAATGTTTAACATCTCACTTTTTCATATATCCTTTTGTATTGTTACACAATAGTTGAAGTGTGTTTCTCGCCTTCAGCTACTGTGTAATTATAATTACGCTTTCCTCATTTTTGCTTAATTTATCGTAGACCCCATCATGGAGTGGACATTGAAATGTCTGGTGGAATATTGGTTGCGCTATTTTGTGCAAATAACAGTTGTGAGGTGGTACAGTCTACCTTGGATAAGCTTTAGATCGGTCCGGTCATTTGACTTGCGCTTCGCAATTTAAAAGTGCCAGGTGTTGTTTCAGGACCAGCAGCAGCTTGATTGCCTCTTGATGACGCAGTTAACCAAATTATCTGTCTTGGCAACAAAATGTGCAGCGACGGACAGGTGACCGTCGAAATTAGGTCACGCATTGTAAAAGCGAGAGTCGTCCTCTCCAAGTTGCATTATGTATGGCGTTAGATGGATTCCAAGTTTCCGGACTTAAAGTCGGGGTTTCCATTTTCATCTTTATCGGTAAACTCATTCTCGTATATGTCTGCCAGGGAGAGTAAAATCTCCCAGTAAAACTCATTAATTCAATGGAAAACAATTCGAACCAGTGATATACGAAAGAAACATCAAGACGTTTCAGAAATGTTCGCACCAGGAAGATTCAGGTCTACACGACACGTATCTACCTACCAATTGGCCAGCCGAACTGGTCTACAAATCAGGTCCGCTGACCTAGCTGTTCTGGTACACGAATCATCCTTAGTTGACTTATAAAAACGTCCGTTGATTCCACACTACTTTTACCCGTTTCGGTAGCTGGTTGCGCAACACGCTTTCGCTTCCAAACTTTGCCTTCTGATTGTCGGCTGGGGTTCGGGGCTAGCAGATAACAAATTCAGTTCAACCGGAACCGCGCAGACAGAGGTAGATCATAACAGTATCCTTCCATGAGTCACACTTGAGACCGGATGTAGGCCCGTAGTGAAACTCCGAAACAGAAGCTACCTTGGCATCTACTGAGGATACCAAGCTCTTACTTACTGAGGAAACCGTTGGTTAACATGAGGACTGGACAAGAGTTCGAATGAGTCGAGATCGCTGTAACTCCGCTTGCTGTCATTGAAAGATTGATTCCAACTGTACATGTAGAAATTACATTGGATTCGTTCCAGAACTCAGTTAGCAGCGTTATCTTCCTGGTGTCCAGTCAATCACACTGTCAACAGAACTGAAGCTGATGATGAAAGATATATCCAGTTAAAATATCGGGGGTGGCTGGACATAGTACAGTGGAAGTGAAGAGCGTCACTGTCCGGGATAGGCTCAGTGACGAGCTGAAGTAGAAGTAACAGTAGTTGCAATCATTTAGCGTAAATCATAACAAAAGCGATGAATTCGTTCGGAGACAGCCCTTTTAACAGTATATGATACTGAGTTCTCCGTGATCATGGCGCGGGGCAGTAAAAGCCGAAAGCAGTTGCCTCACTAATACCTTCTTTTCACTCGAAAGTGTTGCTTATGGATTGGCGGCATCTATGTCCGAATTTGCCTGTCACTTTAGCTTTCACGGCGACAGCCGCAGGAACCTTGCGCCTGCAGAAGGACCATGAGTAGTTTGCGCTGCACCACCCACAGTTCTATCCACACACCCCATATCTGGTGTAAACCCGGAGGAATAAGACCGGAAGACGTGGATGTGAGCCACGTTTCATCAACGGAGCCGATCCTCATTCCTTCAACATGCAGTGCGGAAGCATTTTTGACTGATTGGAAGATCATGCATACCAGAGGTACACAAGACAGTTGCTGGACCCTTGGTCCGTTCCACACTGAGTGCATGGGATCACTCTTTGAGCCTAGCACAATCACGAGAACGGTGTACCCCGTCCCCCAACAACGATTAACAGTCTAGAATTATCAATCGAGGTAGAGGGTAATAGACAGGCAGGCACCTTGTCAATATTCACATCAAGCGCAATCACACCGCGAATATCAAACAACCGACATAACATTTGGAGGAAAATAAACACGCGAAATTGGCACGGAATATGCAGTAGAATAACAGAAATGAGTAAATCAAATAATGTAGAATACTTTCTATCCAGACTAGGAAGATCTGAGTCTAAGTCGGTGTGGCCCCACTGCGATTAAGTAGCATGATGTACGCAGCATCAACCTTAGCATGAGGCACCTAGCCATATGTTATTAACAAATTGTAAGCGCCTTGCTTTGTATATTTGCATGGGGTACATGAGTTTTGCAGTAGGGCACCCAGTGCTATTCTGATTTTACGCCAATCCATAAACCAGCCATTTGAGCTGTTGCTTCGCTGTCATACACCTATGATGACCTATGCAATCAAGAATAAAAAGAGAGAAATGGGACATATCGGAAAACCTTAATCCCTAAGCAAACATTCAGGATCAAGGAGCCTACACCTTGTGCTAACAACATACGGTCACAAACAGCTGGCTATTGTGCAAAGATAAGGCGGCATCGGTGAGACAGCTTGCTTGCGGCTTTCACTGCCCCGTGTCATAATCAGCCATTACCGAGCACACAGCTCCAAGCACACTTTAAACAGCCAATTTGACTAGGAGACGGCAGCAGGCGCGCCACTGGTGTCGACTGCGAGCCATGTCCTATAAAGTCTCGAGCAAAGCACAAGGCAAATTACGTGGACTCCAGCCCGGAAGGCGAGACGGACCGACAACACCCGGTTTGGTCGTCAATGACCTTATTACACGCTACCAAGTCAACTTTTGCCCACCACGAGCTTTGCGCCACCTTACATCTGGCAAATTAAACAGAGCTCTTCTAGGTAAGCGGTGACCAGGCCTGTGTATTATGTGCCCAACGCAACTTTTTCAGTGCTATCTGTTGTTCTAAGGAACTAGCTTAGTTATCACTGCCTAGCACACGCCTAAGCACATCATCGTTTCGGACATGTTGGTGACATCCGTCACCAGCAATGCTCCGCAGACAACGATGTGTAAAAACTTGAAGGCGCCTCAGGTCTTCAGACCGAATTGGCCAAGTCTCACTTTCGTAGAGTAGGACGGCCCTCACTGTGGCCTTGTAAACACGGCTTTTTAGACCGAGGGAGACCCCTTTCTATTGACAAAGATGCCGCACGTTCAAGAAGGCGGTTTTGCTTTTCGCAATGCGTTAAATGACTCCAGTTTCTATACACCCATCGTTGCTGATGCAGTCGCTAAGCTAAGTGAATCGATCAACCACCGAGTTGTTCGTTATCAAGGGTCAAGGGGTCCTAAAGTGGCTGGTGGTCCTGCAGCAACACTTTGCACTTTGAAGGTGCGATGCACATGCCAAATAATGGGACCACTCTGGACAGGCTATTCAGGGTTGATTGTGCCGCCCCAACATCATCAAAAAGCAAGACGATATCGTCCGCATAATCAAGATCAACTAACTCTTCACCAGGCATGACCTCGACGCATACATACATCGTGAGATTCCGCAAGGGAACACTCCATGATGGAGTCCACGACAAAATTGAACAAAAACGGGGAAATCGGACAACTTTGGCGAATGCTGCTTGTGGTCAAAAATCTATCCGACAGTTCACCGTAGACCCTGACGCGGCCTGTATTGTTCGAGTATAGAGCACGTCATATGTTCACATATTTTGTAGGAACATAGCGCAAGTATTTCGAACAGAATGCATCGATCTGCTGAATGGAACCCACATTTGAAGTCGAGGAACACAGCTATTGTCGGTCTGCGGTATGCGTAGCGCTGCTCTAGCACCTGCCGCAAAGTGAATATATGGTCAATACAGCCACATCCTAGGCGGAAACCTGTATGCTCTTCCCTTATCCGTGATTCTCGTTTCACAGTGAGGTGACGAACGAGAATTGAGGCCAATAATTTTGTCACAACTGGCGTTAGACTAATACGCCTGTGGTTAGCACAGTCTGTGCGACTCTTTCTTGTATACTGCCGCTATAATCGGTGCACTCCAGTTATCCGGGACACTGTCTTCCTACCAGCTATGTTCGAATAGGGAGGTCATTGCTTTGCAGAGGACCACACCTCCATCCTTAAATAGTGCAGGTGGGAGGGAATCTGTGCCAGCGGCACGAAAACGTTTGAAGGCTGTGATCACGTTTCGGACCTCGGCCTCCGACGGAGGCTCTAAATTAACCGTCCATGGCTCATCCTACGTCACCTGAATAGTATGTGAGTAGGAAGAGCCCTAGGACGGGAGCAAGTGGCCAACTGAACTGATATTGACAGTGTTCCGCCCGATGAGCCATATGGCGCTCCGTATTGTCTATCAGTGCACCTGCGCTTTTTGTGGTTGTTTCACTGCCACCTGGTTTCCTAATCCTGGAGGTACGGATCATCTGCAAGAGCTTGCGGTAATTACTTACTGCTACTGTCTCCTCCGTTTCTTGAGCCCGACTGGTCCACCAGACTTCCTTGTCAGCACGAAGGCTCTGCTTTAGTTCTCGCCTATTAGTCTGTCGGGTCACATTGTGCTCAGAGCCGGTCTGGAGTTTTCTCCTAGATTCTAACAGGTTCCCCGACCTCTCGGATATCCAGTGACTGGTGCGATGACGATTGATAGTGCCACAAGCAGATGCTCCTGCATCGTGCATGGCGGCCGAGATTCTATTTCACTGAAGCTCAGTGTCATTAGGACAAGACAGCGAAAGTTCGGTACGCAATGCATCTTGATAGGTTTGCCTGTCCGAGGGCTGAGACAACTCAGTTACAAGTCGAGGGATTCGTTTGGTACACCCGATAAAGGCAATGAAAAAACGATAGCGTGCCAAGGCCAGCGTAAAATTAGTTCAAATAACTGCTTTGTCAACGCTGCAAATGATGATGGGGGCTCAGATCAACTAACTCTCAGCATCTTTTTCTTTAAAAATTGAAGGCGAGAAGCAACTTGTTTTTCATTCTCTTAATGTACCACAGTCACGCGTAATCTCTGACGGTGGTCAATAAAGCACATGTCCTCCAACGCCCGTCTGCAGTTCTTTGCTACCGCAGACTCGCGATGTGTTACGGTCTAAAACAATGGTTTGTTCTTGCTCTTCTAACTCTACCTGTGATCTGTCTCAAGCATTTCTAGTTGGACCTTGCGATCACCGTAGCTGGGCTGCTCCCAGTTTGATTGTGGACCAATTCTGAATCAAATAAATAGTGGCAGAACACCTAGAACAAAGGCCGTTTGTCTTACTTGAAAGTCTGGAAGAATTATTTGCCCATACGACACCTTGACCAATTTCTTTTGTCTTCTTTAATTTTTCTCTTGAGAATCTTGTCCTAACCAACTGGAGGTCTACCATCGTGACGAGACTGGACCTTCACGTGATGTGGTGCTTTACATGCCTCGACGGTCCTTTATACTCTACTGAATAATGTTTTTTGCACCTTCAGTCACCCTTATCAGATTGGTCATATTTTATAGGCCAGGCGAACTCGGTCTTCCAAGTTGGGAGCTATTGTTAGGGTAGCCTCTGATTTATGTCAAAATTCCGCTGCATCACGGTCAGCTTTTTGAATCAGGCCTTGGTTGATGACAGCAGTCCTGTCGAGGCAAGAACGATCTGACTCAATGCAATACATTGAACTTCTTTTCAAACAGTTATTTGATGTTCAAACCGTGACAGAGGATAATCAGCGATGTCCTACTTACCGCGTCTAGCAGAGCGGATAGAAGTGGTGATGCTAATGCTTAAGCTTTCACGTCTTATTCCCTCCTATGCTTTCTCATCTGTATTGTCCCGTTCGAACTTTACTTTTATCTCCTCTCTTTTCAATTCCTCAATCCTTAAACCTTCCCCTTTCTTGCTTCTACAGTCGCTTGTCTTATAGTTTTGGCGTACATGCAATCGCAAGCTGTCGCTCCGTTGACAAATCTATGTTCAACCAACCATCATCCTCATCATCAATACACGTTAGCCGAGGGTGAGAAACACACCTCAGCTAATCTACCGCAAGACAAAACGTAAGTCCTTAAGCGTTCTAGACTTAAAAACAGTAGAAAAGCAACATACTGTTAGTATCACCTTTTTGAAGGTTTTTGGATGGGGAAGCTAAAGGGAAGGAAAGGGACAGAGACCCACAACACAAACGCTACTGAGATCGAATCTTCGCCATATCAACTATAGTATCCAGCCAGACTTGTTCATCATCCTTCGGTTCCCATCCAGACTGTCGGGAAACACCAACGGACTCCAACTTCGAAATGAGAGACTTCATTCCTCTCGACCTTGGCCTCCTTTCCTCTTCGTCCATCCACAGTCCCCCAGCGCAAACGATACACGGCGCGAGAGTTCGTGGAGGGGCTTGCGCAACATGTAGCTTAGCCATCGGAGCCTGGTGCGTGATATAATGGTGCTGAGCGGTTCACTCGCTCTTTCTGCACCGAACACGCTCATTGCTTACGCGGTGCTCCCGCCAGACATAAGCTAAACTGTGAAGGTAGTCATGATCGAACGTACCTAGGCCCTTCATATCTGTCGACTTGATGGGCCAAGTTTCGCAGCCGTACAGAGGGCTCTACGGACGGCTGCATTGTAAACTTTACCGTTCATAGCGAGAGTAATGTCGCGCCGGCGCGACGGATGTCAGAGATAAGCAAAAGCTTTTGCTATACGACACGTGATCTCATCTTCTGTTCCAGTGGCGCTGATATAGCTGCCCAGATACTTGGATTTCTCGATGATTTCTGAATTATCACCACCAATGACGATTGCAGGCTTGGGTCCCTTGCCAACTTTGGAGAACTTTGTATTTCGTTGGTGCATAGCATACCCTTAACCGATTAGCATCCTGAGCTAATTTATCCAGTGCAGCTTGGCACATTCGGGGCTGTCACAGATGCGCGTAGTGTCGTCGACATACCCCAATTCGAGCAATCGTTCACCTGAGAGCAGTCCCACACCTAAGTCGCACTTTTCGAAGATCGTTTCCATGATTTCGTTAACAGTGAAGTTAAAGAGGAAAGGGGACAGCGGGCAACCTTGTCCCACACCGCTGGAGATATTGAAAGGTGACGACAGTTTGCGTACACCCTCATTCTGCCGAGCTACGCGCACATAGCGCTTGGATAATATTTACATACTTCTCGGGCACACCTTTTTGATAGACAGTCCCAAATTGCACATCGATCAACCGAATCACTGGCCCTTTTGATATCTAAGAACACGACTACAATGGTTCGCTGATAAATATGGTGCTTTAACAACACGTACTGTGTGTTCAACCAACCGGACAACCTCAGCTTTTCATTTTCTATTTTGAGCCCTGGATCCTCGCTAAGACTGGCGTGCCTTAACGTATGCATTTCGTTACAGAGGCCCTATTGTTCGATATCTGCTGTTACTCGAAAACTCGTCTGCAAGACTCAATCTCTGTGATCACTATACGATCCGCTTCATGTGACACTGATGACACTTTCTCATCGTGATTGTTCGGAGATGATGCAGCCTCAAAGGTCAGTTAAGCTGATATATGCATTGTTCTGATCCCCCAGACTGAAGCTGCCTTGATCGATTGGATCCCAATCAACAGCCGGATTTGCGTCGTCAGATTGGCTGACAGGTTCGAAGCCTCGAACTCATGCGGGGCCAATAGGTTCCTGCTTGTCACCGCTGCCTATGCCCCCACGAACTGTAGCACTCTTTGGGTGAAGGACGATTTCCATTGTCATCTTACGACCTTTTTCACAGTAGAATTGCAGATACTGCATGCTGGTTGGTGATCTGAACGCTCAGGTTGGAAAATAAAATGATGAGCGGTATCTGAGTTGCCAACACTGTGTAGGCTTCCGTAATGGTAACATGAGAGATCGTTGCATTTGTTTGAGGATACTAATATATTTCTAGTGAGCACTAACTTCGGACACCGCACTCGCCGGAGGATGACCTGATGCCCACTAGCCTCGGACCGGCCATAGACACAGATCGATCACATCGCGATCGATTACCGTAGGGAACATTATCTCCAAAACTGTCACTTTATTTTAGCACAAGCGTGGACCCCGACCACGCTGATCTGAGGACACGTTTCGGTGAACGCCCACGATAATGCTTTGAGCACGTAGACACTTGCCAACTGGCGAAAATGGATGTTTTGAATGCATATCAGATCACACCAGCGTCCGAGTTGAATAAGTGCTCACTGAACACCGTTGGAACATGAGGGCAGGAAACTGTACTACTAAGTGGAAGCTGCTCTGTTATCGTTCGGATTTTAAAGAACGTTCGACCATTTGTGCTTTCGCAGTTTAACTCATGTCTGGTGGGAACACCGCATTAGCAATGAGCGTATATTGATTCTCCTTTATGACACAGGAAGAGTAAGTGAAGTGCTGAACACAGTTATTTCACGCACTATGCTCCAGCTGCCTGCTCATGTGTTAGGCATCCCAGCACCGACTCTTGCGACATGCACCCTTTGTGCAACTGCGGTCTGAATAGGGGAAGAGAAGCGTAGGTCGAGCGACGACGGCCAAGAGGGATGAAGGCCCTGACTTTGAACTTGCCCTCGGTTGGAGCTTTTCGGCTTCCTGTTTGGGCTCCGACAGGCGACGAGCACGTCTGGCTAGAGACGCTCGTTGATATGGCTAAGAATCGACCTCAGTGGTGTTTGTGCCCTGAGATCCTTTATTCCTTCCCATCCCGCTTAGCCTTCTTCTCCATTTACGACTCACTGTCGATGCTCAATGATTTCAAAGCAAAAGGTTACTTTCTGACTTTGTATTTTGCACTCTCTTTTTTGTATTTCCTGTTTGCGAATCGTAATGCGTTGTACTGCGGAACAGTAGCTGAGGTATACTTCACCTCTAACTAACACATATTTATGAATTAGAGACCTTTCCTAATATGATCAACCAGTCTATCAGAGTATCCGAGGTACATTCCAAATATCGGTTACCTACCGCACTTAACTTTCAAGTGATCATGCGTTGTGTACAACCGGTTAGCAGGAGATACGCGTCATGAATTTACGCTCTTTCTGAGTTGATATATGCTGTATCCATACAGGACTGCAGCGTCCTATTTCATCCCCTCTGGTCAAACTCGGGCTCCAATAAATTGTTTTACACACTCTATCTGTCCGGGTATTTTGAGTCAATGATTTGCGGCACTTATTGTGTTTGGGTTGGTTTCATCAGATCTGCCTAAGCTACGCTAGCTCCATCAGAATTAACTTCTAGCGACTTAAGGCAGGATACCTTTACCTCGCTTTTACTTCGCTGTCAGTGACTGCATCCTGGAGAGTGTCAGAGATAAATCTCATCGGCAACTCTAACTCAAATAACAGAATTTGCGGGTGTTTTACGGATGGCACAAATGCTGAAGCTGGCCGCTATCAGAATCGCATTGTCGCCTCGTTTCGGGGTCTATGCATCTCGTACCAACATCGGTAAATGCTATCCTCAAATGTGCGCTAATCACAACCCCAAATTTCGCAGCATTGCTTCCCAGCACAGGCGTTCATACCGAGTTACTGGGCGTAAGGCTAACCTGAACTGAACTAGACATTGCCGTTGACTTTAGCTGATGCACGTTGGTACTAGACTATCAGTATATCTGGACCGTTTATCTCGATTCTAATCTTGTTTTTATGCGCGTCCGCATAGTGCTCACTCCTTCGGTATTGGGGACGTGCTCAAATTAGAAAACGCCTGTTGACTAAGTATGTTCGCAATTCACTAATCCAAAGCATCCGTATGAGTTGCCTCGTCAATTCTTTCTGCATGACGAGACGTATGGTCTGTGTACGAACTGAAACTGCCCCTATGCGCAATGAAGAAAGCACCCGCTGCTACTTGCCCTTTCAGCTCGAATTGTCCGAATAGCGGATGAATATTTGGAGCTTCAAGTAGCAATTGAGATCAGGAAGGTACATACACCATTTTCACTTTAAATTGGACATTTTTCAAACCACATTGGACATTTTGCAAACCACATTGGACATTTTGCAAACCACATTGGACATTTTGCAAACCACATTGGACATTTTGCAAACCAAAGTGGACATTTTGCAAAACAAATTGGACACGTTGCAATCTAAGTAGCAACTGGCCAATTTGTTGGTAAGAAACGAGCAGTAAGACTACTGAATGATGTTCAGAATATACATTGTGATGACGCTAATACACCGGCATTGTGTAAGCAGCGGGCTACACTGTAAAACATTTGCTTGATCGTGAGCAGCGACCGAAGTTCTGAACTACGCTCCCCTCTCCCCATTGACATTCGCCTAGTTGGTGTGCAGTGCCCATACGCATCAACCTGTGTAGGTGTGTGACAATTGGAAAATCGGACGTCCGAATGGTAATTGTGTATCAATCATTTTGTGAGTGGATTGCGATGCGCAATCTCAATGTGCACCATTATTCTCATTAGAGGGAACCTTGTCCGATTCGGTCAATGGGACCATGTCGGATGAAGCAGGTAGGCGGTGTCCCAGCTTCGCCCGTCTCTCTATTAGCTTTCGCAACTGCCACGTTATTGTATCAGCGTAGGCTGTAATGACCCCCAGCAAAACCAGTCTAGATCTATAGCCTATTGTTGCAACATATCAACTACTGAGGAGTGGGCCGATTACACGATGTTCAGGCCACATTGTGGTCACGATAATGTAACCGAACTGCGTACGTAGCGGGTGATTGTGTAAGCCCTTCTCTTGACATGAGTGCCGTTCGCCTCGGTCAAAATCGGTGACCTATTTTCCCCTACACCCCCCATAGGAATTCGTGTTTTGTCTGGGTGTGTGGACCGACCTATGCAGCGGTACCACTATTGGAGCCGAGCATACGATAATGGTTCCACTCAACACAACTTAGCTTTATTAGCTCCGTGCCGCACGAAACGACCAAAATGAGTGACGAACAACAGGAGAGCTGGTGTCCGACGCGACGGCACTGCAGGCGAACATCATTTGCGCAAAGAGAAATTCTCACAAATCTTGTGCTGGTCGACGGCAAAACTACTC